TCGCTCGACAGAGGGTCAAAAATAACGGTGGTCACTTAAGCGCAACATCCGTCATTCGAGCGGTCTGTAAACTCTACAAAAGCACTGGTTGCTTGATTTTTCCGCTCCATGCACACTTGACGGTCGCTCGAGTGTGAGACTAAGGTCTTCGAAGCAACTCTAGTTGCTCGAGCGGTCCATAAAACTTGTAAACTTCTAGGAGCATGCATTTCACACTCGAGCCAACTTTTGGTCGCTTGACCGGAAGTACAAAACAAAGGGTGGTTGCTCAAGCGCAAGATATGTCGCTTGAGTGAAAAAACAAAATTCTGGAATTTCCCAATTTGTTTCCCAGCTTCAAAACTCAAATTCAAACCAACAAATCATGTTCTTTTGGGCCAAAATCTTAAGGAAACATGTGTAACCTTGGAAAACATTGGGCATTCAGAATCATTTCACAAAATCAAAGCCCAAAAGCATGCCAATTATTCAAAATCAAACTTAAAACTTTGAAACCACAACATGCATGCAATGGTATGGACTCCAACTGTCATGACCCGAGCCCGCTCCTGCGGATTAAGGTCATAACCGGCCAATAATCATAAGATTACCTGTGGCCTCAAACGTGATTAAACTTGTTTTAATAAAAATAAAGGGGCCAAACGGAAGCAAACTCAAATATTTTTTCCAATGAGCTATGCTTACATGGCATAGTAAACTTATTTCAAAAGCATTTCATAATAACCCACATATACAAACAGAGTTAACATCTCATATACATCCACGAACTTTTAGGTATACAGTCAGCCAAACAAAAACTTATAGACATATGTGATCCAACGGGTTCACCAAAATAGTATAAGAGTAAACAAAAGAACCAAAAAGACAAAAACAAAGTCTCGTACGTGAGACATTCGGGCTGACTCCTTAAAAACCTGACTTCCTCTCATGATCTTCACCGAGGCTGGGTTTAGACATCTCTTTGCTCATCTACATATACATGAATGAGAGTGAGTGAAAACCCAGTGAATAATATCAAATAAGGAAGTTACATGAATGAAGATTCGTAACAGTCATATCAGGCATATTAAACGGCCGTAGGCCCATTCGCTCATGTCAAACGGCCTTTGGCCCAATCATTTATATCAAATGGCCTTTGGCCCAATCATTCATGTCAAAAGACCTTTGGCCCAATCATTTATGTCAAACGGCCTTTGGCCCAGCCATCTATATCAAACGACCTTTAGCCCAATCATTTATATCAAACGGCCTTTGGCCCAATTATGTATATTAAACGGCCTTTGGCCCAATCTTTCATGTCAAACGGTCTTTGGCCTAATTATCTATATCAAATGGCCTTTGGCCCAATCGTGCGTATCAAACAGCCTTTGGGCCAATTATTCTTGCCAAACATATCAGGCGGCCTCAGGCCGATTGCAAAACTTTGTCAGACTCATCAAAATATTCAATTATATCAAATGGATATCCGATACAAATTAACAAATCCATAAACTCAGATAGAAGTAAGCATCTAGAAGGTAGCATACTTCTATACATTCTTACTAAGAAATTACTCACTGTGTTCTGCAAATAGATTTGTCCTTGCACTACAACAAGTTGGGCCTTGAGTGACGAAATTTTTTTGTCTTCAAAGAGCTAATTTCGTCACTATAGATATTTGTGAGGAAATATTTTCGTCACCGGTTTCGTCATTGAACGTTTGTCACTAAAAACCAACGTGACGAAAAATAATTTCGTCACCAATGAAATTACTTCAGCGACGAAATTTTTTGTCACCAATAAAACAACATTTTGTCGCCAAAAATTCTCATTTTCGTCACCAAATAATTATTCAGTACCATATTTATAATTTTAGTTGACGAATAAATTTGTCACGCATGTTGATCATTGATGAAGAAATAATTTCGTCACAATAAGATGTAAAGGTGACGAAATTTTTCGTCTTCAAAAGTCATAATTTTGTCACCAATAAAACAAAATTTTGTCGCCAAAAATTCTCATTTTCGTCACCAAATAATTATTCAGTACCATATTTATAACTTCAATTTAGTTGACGAATAAATTTGTCACGCATGTTGATCATTGATGAGGAAATAATTTCGTCACAATAAGATGTAAAGGTGACGAAATTTTTCGTCTTCAAAAAGTCATAATTTTGTCACCATAAAACACATTTTGTTGCCAAAAATTTCTCATTTTCGTCACCAAATAATTATTCAGTACCAATATTTATAATTTAGTTGACGAATAAATTTTGTCACGCATGTTGATCATTGATGAGGAAATAATTTGTCACAATAAGATGTAAAGGTGACGAAATTTTTCC